CGAGTCGGTAAAATTTTCGATGGCGTCAATGCCATGATTGGCTAAATTTCATAGAGACCGAGATTTACTTTTAAATTCTAAGATTCAATAAAATGTAATTAAAATGAAAATCGTAATGAAAGTTGCATATTACAGTATAACATTGTGGTTAGCCAGTGTCAGATTCCGACTAAGTTAATTCTGTTACGAATTCAACTGTACAAATGTTTATCATGTATATATAAACAACGATCCCTAGCCGTCACATCATTTGAACAGAATTTGCCAACAAGTCTGAACCGTTAAATCTGACTTACCTCTGTACCGTGTTGTAATATAGAACTTAATTTGTAATTTTAACTTGTACCGGCTTTTGATCGGCTCAGCAATTACTCTGGTTTTCTATCCATTGTCTGCATGTCATGGAATACTACAGATCCTTGGTTTACTTTAATCGTTTCCAAAATCACAAATATTGGTGGTGGTATGGGAAGAGGCGTGCGAGATATGTCAGCTAACTGGTTTCACTTATTAATTAGATTCCAGCTATCGTATATGAGTAAAAGGAGCGTATTTGTGAGTTAAGGTATCGTGATACTTTAAGCCAAGCATATTTTTGTTAGTATTTCGAAGTGTATGTTTTGCATGCATTATTATAGTATGTTATAGTACTACGAAGATGATTTTTGTAAATGATTTACATCGTCACAAGGATGTAGATGACAGTGTGATTTGTAGTTTAATCTGAAAGACATTATCAGTTTTATTTTATATTTATCCTACGGAGGTAAGGGTAAACGTATTGACGTAGTTGAGGTTAATGATACTATCGTTTGTTTCAGAAAGTTATAACACAGTATAACGGATTTACATTCACGCACTGCTCATGGTGTGCTGTTATTTTTTTTATCATGGACCCTTGGCTTGCTTAAGTACTTCCGAAGATTTCGGGAATGCTAGAGCTGTATACGCCAGAAAAGTGACAGTCTAATCACATTCTACTTAATTGACTTGTTCATTGATGGGAAATCTTCATTTTATACTGTCAGCCGATAAACACCAAGAGTGCATGTTATTCTGATACAGTCAAATCTCGGTCATCGGGGACGCACTGAAGAACGTACTGCATCCGGTCGCATTGTCACTCGGTGATTCATGCCACATGAAAGTAATGTTTTTGGATTTGAGGTCATCGACCAGGTACTTTCAGTTTTCGATCGACAACTTCCTCGTATGAAACTGCTAGAAGCTGGTTCGAACTCCTGTCTGGGTGTTTACGAGTTTTTCGAGGTTAGGGAGCCGATTAGTCGCTTTTCATAATGCATGAATGAATGAACCGCCCGTCAAGCGGTTCGGTGCAGAAACCTCCGTAGGATGTGCGTTCGTTTTTTTAAGACAACTGTTTTTGGGTGCTGCGGGATGATTAATCTGCAGCGTGCTGTGCGCAGAGACGTGACCACGTCTGCCGGCCAGAGGGGCGAACTCGCGAAGCATGTGATAATTGCCAGTCAGTCGGTCGATGCTTATTGACTAACATGTAAGCCGTCTGGCGCATTGTTTTTTAAAGCATTTTACAGACGAATGATTGATTTTTTAGAATAAGGATTTTTTGACGCGGAGGATATTTGCAACCATTTCTTAGAGAATGAGTACAGTTCAATCGCTTCGTAAATTTTGACTCTCACCTTTTGTTTTTTTTTCAGAATGAGGACAAAGCAGCACTGATAACGAAGTGTGTACTGAGCTTTGGCAGTCATATTTAAATACGATCAACCTGTTTTATGCCTCTCTGTATGATATCGACGGTGTTTCATAGAAACAGTCATTTCTGGGGCGTGGAGGATGATTAATCTTAGGGATGAGCTGAAATTTGCATTCTTGTTAATGGTTAGATTACATTCTTTTCTAAAATTGAATAGAATCTTATGCAACTTTCGAAAGCTGATTATAATGCACGGTACTGATCGATCTACCTGTCCCCTTGCTTCATCTGTTGGCTCACCATTTCACGTTGTCTGTTTATCGGATTGAGTCAGTGAATGCCATATGAACGTGTTTATGACATATCCACATTTCCAACAAATAAACCACGATCGAAAGCATTGACTCAGAACTGATTTTTAGTTCATGCTTGATGTATATTCTCCTGTAGCCTTTTCACCTGATCTGTGTGATAAAGAATTTAAAGTGTTTGAACCAGGTGTTGGATAAGTGAATGTAAGGAAAAATTAAAGAAGGAACATCTGTAGCCTTTGGAATGCCGGTTTTCTTTACACAGCCATGATGGGTCTAAATTTAACAACCCTTCTTTTAATTAAATTAACGGTGGTATGCTGAATCTGCATTTTCATGATATCTGCAAGGAATGGCAGAGTCAGGCGACATCAGGTGTATGGCAAGCATTGCATGTAGTTTCCTGTTTTCTTTTCACGAAGCGCTTCGTAAATGTAAATATAAACACTATGGGTTTAATGTTGGCCATCGAAGTATTCAAGAATAAAGTGAGGCTAGTGAGGCGAGAGTTTTTCATGTGTTTGTCGAAAAAAAACCATGGCAAAAGATGAACCAACTTTTGTAAAGAAAACTTTACTATTTGGTTAATGCTTCAAATCGGTTGTAGAAAAAACGCCAACACGAGGTTACATGAGGTTGGACCGGGAAAGCGATGGCGGATTAAGTGTTTAACGCTGGTATGCTTGGAATTTATTTTCAGGTTCTGCTGAACCGGCTGTATGGCGCTAAACTTCACGAGTTTCTTCTCGTAGTCGTTTTTGTTTTTAAAGTTTTTTTATACGAAAGCTTGTAGATTTTAGTGAGCGTTGCTCCGGCATGTTTACCGTTCTACAGCTGGGCAGAGGTAGAGGTTGAAAGATTAACTGGGAAAATCGAGAGGATAGGGAGAATATTTACTGTTTCAGATGTCTAATCGAGATTAGTGACTGATTGGAACTCAGAGGTTACTGCTCATTCTTAAAAGCTAGGTATAAATTTCATGATTAGAAGCAAATTGTTCAGAAGCTGGATTGTTTTTCAGAAACTGTCATAAATGTTAGCCATGATTTTATCCTCATCTTCGCATTTCTTGAGTTTAACATGTGATGAAATTTCTGTTAGGTAATAGCGGGTTACGAGTTACGACATGCAATGAGTTCATCTCTACGGATGTAAGAACAGAAACTTTTAAGTACTCAGTTTTTCTTCATCAACTCCGGATTTTTACGGATGAGAACAAGTTCATAAGCCTGATCCAGCCGAACAAGTCATAAACGGTAATGTTTGCCAGAACGGAAGTTTTTAAAGCTGCCTTCAGTTTGCTGTTGTACAACTCAGGATTCTGTCCAATGGCTTCATGATGGTAACATTCCCCCTAACGTGTTAGCCAAATTAATATCACCCACAGACACTTTCATCAGCACAGACACAATGACAGTCTATATTTTTGCTCGTCTTCATTATCAGGTATGTCAGTGCTAAGTTCAGACACAAGCTGCTCTTATCAGATGGCACGACGGTGCATCTTGCCAGTATCCGTACTTCTGTGACCACATGAGAATATTATGATGCCGCTGTTGTTCCCAATTAAGGACTGTCTACCCGTTGATACTGGTTAACTAATACCGGTTAAATAATGACTTCTTATCACTACGTCATTATCTGCCTATCATCACGGCAGCATTCCTCACCGCTATTATCATCATAATCACCATCAATTGTTGTCTGCTAGGTACGTTATAGTGTCCTTCATCATCTACACTGACATCTTCACTTCTTTGTTGCTGTTACTGTCTTCAACGTCGTCACAGTT